GTGTTAAGAAAGAATGCTATTTATTATAAAAAGAAACCGTAGACTAAAAATATCGAACTACAGTGAAAACTCGATAAATGTCCTCAAGAGCTGTTCCATAAATGATACATTTTTATCCCCACCACTAGGGGGACCCCCCTTGAACCAGTGAGGCGAAGTGTAACCGGAGACGTAGCGGCTTTCTTTAAAAATCTTTATTGCCTTCGTCACTTAGTTTAAATGTCCCTGTCAGTGTGACCACACTACTGTACAAGAAGAAAGTTTTTTATTTTTTACTTTTTTTTAATAAAAATTTTACTATCATGTGGGGAAAATTTTTCTAATTAAAATGAGACACGATATAAATCGGCCAATATTTGTTACCATAATATTGAATTAAATATTGTGTACTCGTATCTTCGCAAGGTCAGTGGATTGGTACATTTATCGAACAGTGGTAGCTAACGAAACCCCCTATTTCATAAGTGTTGCAGTTTTTGATCACTTACGAAACGGTGGAACCGTTCCGTTTGAAAATAGCTATGTACTTTGTAATCGGTAAAGTGCATTAGGTGTATTGAAACAATTTCGAATATATTCAGCAATTTTCAATATTTTCGATTGATATAGATACTGTGCACGTGTAAAACATCGACGAATGTGCAAAATCTAAATGTCATACAATCTATGATTTTCTTGCAAAAATATAAAAAAAGACGCCATCGATCCAACGAAATTTAGAAAAATAATTTTTAAGTGGATATTATAAATTGACTATAGCAATATCTTGAAATGATATATAAATAAACTAAATAAAGATATTATGTTCATACCCTAAAAATAGATTGAAAAATATCTTTTATAGAAAATTAAATTTATATAATTTATATTTATTAATTTAATTAATTCTAAAAAATTCAAAGTTTTATGTGCTTTTACACTAAAATATAATGTTTAATTTTATTATATTATAGTAATATGCCTGATAAAAGGAATATTTTGATGAAATATTAATAGAAATATTGGTAAATATTAGTTTGGATATTTATAGAAATTTTTCCAAACGATAAAAAACTATCTACAAAATAAATTTTTATGTCGTTATAAAATAGCACTTTCCGTGGATAAAACAGGCTTCATTGATATTAAGAATGAATGCTATTTACTGTAAAACAAAAAAACTGTAGACTAAAAATATCGAACTTCTATGCTATCGGTAAGGTGAATTAGGTCTCCCGCCATTGAAACAATTTCGAATATATTCAGCAATTTCTTCTTAAAAAATAACAAAGGGGGCTTAAAAATTCCACCGAACTACCCCCTTGAACGACCCATGCACGTTCACGGAACATTTTTCTCCTGTAAAATACACAGATCGTCTCGTAGATTCGACTGGGACCAGTCAGGTTATCGATAATATTATTAGCAGATTTCAACGGACAAGATTCGCAGGTGGAAGAATGTTGCGTAGTTTGGCAACCGTTGCTTCTGAATATTGTTGCTCGTGTAATATCGATCGCGCGTGTGTGAGTGCATTCGAAGTCTATCTGGGTAGTATTAACCTCGTGTGCTCAAGCAGAGTGTGCGGCTGGCAAACACACCACACACGTGCCGGTCGTTTCTCGTTGCGCGTGCGAGCGGTTCGCTCACGCGAACTGTGTGCATCGTGCACACGCACACGTTCGTGCATCGCCACTCAAGGCCGTATCTGCATCCTGCCGCAATTCACAGCACCACCCGCTATTAGCGCTGGAATATCCACGATGGGTTCTCAGACGCGTCGGGGCCGTGGTAAAAAAAAAAAGGGGGAAAACGCTTTAAAACCTTGACTGAATTTGCGCGCGGTTGACTCTCGAGGGCGCGTCTCGTTCACCGAAAACCTTACGCCCAACCTTTTTCCCGCCATTTTCCCACCGCTTTTTTTCAATTTCTCTCGCACGCTCGGGGGTTCGATCGAGAAATCACCGCACCTCGAAACCAGGATTTCTCGAAAATTAAAAAATTCTCTCGAGACACTTTTTCCTTCCTGCCGTTGAATATTTATTTGCTAAAGAAACACGATAGAGTTTCGGATTAATGTAGTTTTACGTAAACGAAAATGCTGTTCTTAGCTCGACGGTTTTCCGCTAACTGAGCTCGAGGCTCGGGGGGGGAAAAAACGGGACGCTCAGGGGGTGCAATAAACGAGTGTCTTCCTCAGGTAGTACTGACCGTTGCAAGGGAGGGGACTTCGCCAATGAATACAAATTTTCATCAAAAATACATGCATGCAATGCTTATTCTCAACACCAGTGTATAATAATAAAAGAAAAAGGGAAAAGTCTGTAAGCGTGTGTTATGGTAATGGTTTTAAAATTTTTCCTGGCCTGTTATCTTCCCGTTACTGTCATGCGGGTTCAATCGACAGCCGCAAACAAAATACCCATATCGCGCCAAAAACCGCTTAGAACCCCAACGATTGTGGACTCCGTTGCGCAATTAACGTCACAGCCCACATAAACAGCGACACGACGCCCCCGATTCGTGGAAATTTTGTGAGGGAAACCGTGGAGCCGGCTATACAAATTTTAACGTTTCATCGTGAAAATTCTCTTCCTTAAATAACAGCGCTGTCAACCGTCGGAGGTCCGCCAAAAATTTCTTCGATTAAGAGAAATTGGAAATTTTAACGCAGATCGTTCTTGTTGAGTTTCTATCAAACTGTTGATTTATTTTTAGTCCTTAAAAACGAAATTAACAGTTTTTCTGTTTAACTTTGGCGTCGAGTGTATCGGAGAGAAATCGTATCGTTAGCGAGGTTGCCTCAGGCGTAACTTTTGAATGAAATGGGATAGCTGTCGATCTAATTAACGAACGACGTCTCGCAAAAAGCGAGCAAAACGGTCCTTTCAGCACGCGAAGAAAAGTTATTAGCGTCCCGATCGATGATCTAGACCGATAAAACGACAACCGCGCACACGTGACGCGTAGAAACAAGGGAGAGAAGTTGCACCCTCTATGATAAAACGAGCCAATTAGTACATGCCGCCGAACAGAAAAATATTATCCTATTTTTAAACTGTTAAAAGGCAGGCGAGCTCGATCAATCGTCGCCGCGAATCGTATCTCGGAAACCAGAAAAAAGAAAGATCGTGAAATAATTATTTAAAAATCGAACCGAACACGAAATCGTTACGCGTATTGAATGCATTAAATTTAGCGAGGTTAGCGACGCGATGGAAATTCGTTCGAGTATTTTCTGCCTTTGTACGACCGGTTATTGGAAAACCTTCGTTCCTGGTAAACAATACTTTCGTCCCTTTTGTATTCCATCGACTATTTATCTTCGAGTGTTTCGTTCGTTCGCGAATAAAAAAAAAAAGAAGCAAAGTCACGGTTAACCCAGTCTTATTAAGGCCTCATTTGGCGCAACAAACATCTCAATGCAGAAAACCGCCGTTGAATCTCTCCCCGGCGTGCCGCGTCTCGCATTCATCTTGGTTTTTCACCCTCGCGAGATGTCTGAACGTCTCCATTTTCTAAAGCCGCTATTTAACCCTACGAAGCGGTGATTTTGTAAGATTTTTTCAACGAACGGACGGCCCCGTGGCGGCCATGCTTATTATGCGTAATATTCTTATATCGAACTTCGGCTTTCTAATCTTTTCGAAACACTTGCTATTAAAAATTTTCATATATCCATACTTTGTTAAAAGGGGCGATAAAATTTAATTCTGTCTAAAACGGCATTCTGTTGCACGTGGTGTAAACGTTTTAAACGATATATTTACGAAAACATTAAGAAAATAACATGAAAGCGATGCGTCGGAGCATATTACGACGCGTACCGTCGCTGTCGATTTCTCAATAAAAATTCCTCGGCTCGCCTCTTGTTTCACCGTGTCCGAACAGTGTTAAAGGCCTCCCTGGGGCTGGCGGTGATTTACGATTGCGCGAAATTTTTATGAATCGCGATATACGCGCCCGGGAACAATCGTCGATCGCGAACGCGACGAGACGGCGCGCGCAGCACGCGAGAACGGCGCAGTATGGCAGTAGTGCAAGCAATCACTTGGATTGACGGAAGTGGACACGAGAGACAAAGGGGGCGGGCAGGGTGGAAGGAGGGGGGAACAGAAGGGGAAGGGGAGGGGTGCGTGTGAGAGGAGAACGTGGCCGGTGACGTCACATCCGGTTGCTCGTCGACGTTTCACTCTCTTTTTCTCGCCGACGACGCGCGACCAGGAGAAAGAAACGCGAACGCGTGCTGAATTTCCGATTGCGCGCTGTCTTTTCGCATCTCGGAACCGGCGCGGATCGGATTCCACTCCGAAAACTATAAAACGATACTAAGCACGGGAGATTAGAAACGATTAGGTTTGCTCCGGAACGACAGGGACTCTGGTGCCCCATCTGGAACAACGAGGACTAGTAGACATCCTCGTAAAAAGGGATTTCGAGAATGCAGGGGACTCTAGAAATATTGTGGGTGCTCTGGATGGTGCAGAGGATCTTGGAAATGGCATAGATTCGCTGGCGGTATTAGTGAAATGGTACTAAAGGCTAGGGTTCGCTAAAATGTTCCTGAAACTAGCTCTAGTATAATTGTGTGATGACTGAAACCACGTGCATGGGACTTCATGATGATACAAATACTAAGAGTACTTGTTGAAATGGTATTGAACGCTCATATTCTTTCGAAAGTCCATGGAACTACCTCTATCAAGGTTGTGAGGCACTCTAGCGGCTGTAAAGTGTTTTAAAGACCATCTATGAATTCTTTGCAATTCCAAGACTATAATATTTGCTAAAGTCCTCGTTGAAAGTGATCCAAGTACCTAGAATCTCTGAAGTATTCATGAAACCCAGCTCTAGCAAGCTGAGATGTCCCTGAAACTAGCTCTGGCATAATCGTGTGATGCTCTAGATGCTATGGAGTACCACTGAAACCACTTGGATGCAACTAAACGATCAATGGTGTCTGCTACGCTGGCGTTCGGTATAGCGTGGATCCTGGATTAGTTTAAAGGTTCTCCACTTACCTATCTTACTGTTGGGACTGTAAGGATCGTAGCTGCTGGTGCTCATAGGACTGGCGTATCCATTGTTGCTGGCGGGTTGCTGCTGTTGGTGTGCCAGGGGGCTGGAGTGTGCCAAGGGGGGTTGCTGTTGCTGCGAGTCACTCAGCTGTTGCTGAGGAGTCGTGTACACCACGTGCTGGTTCTGCAGCGTGGCGGAGGGCGATCCAGGACTGTTCGTGGACAACCAATCGTCCGGTCGCGAGCTTTTATTGCCGCTGGCGATGGCGGCGAAGAGGCCGGTGGCCGCTGTAACCGGTCCGGTGACCGACGAGGGCGTCGTGGAGGTACCAGCCAGGTGTTCCGGCGTCTCGGCCTTGATCAGCGTCAAGGACGCCGCTCCAGACACCACCGAGGCGAGCGTACCTACGCTCGCTGCCCCGGTCGCCGAGCCTCCGTTCGTCGTGTCCATGCTGGAGTCGCTGGTGTCCATGCTGGACGCGGCTGGATCGGCTGCGGCTAACCTGGAAGTGGCTGCCAACACGACACCCCCCGTGCCAACCACTCCCGTCGCCTCATCGTAACGCACCGCTACGTTGCCGCTCACTAAGCTGGCCACCGTGACGGGTCCTCTGCTCACCTCTGTCCACCTCCCTCTGTAGCTCGCTTCCGGTTGCTTTCCTCGACGACTCTCGACGGTATCGGTTACCCCGGATCTCGGGATCACGGGATCGAACTCCCTTTACCCGCTCTCTCTCTCTGCTCGCGGCCCACGTTCCTCTTGGTTCCTCTCGGTTCCGCGCGGGGAAGGCAGTGCTTTCTATTCTATTCGTAAATACTCAGAGTTCAGGGTTTCGCGCCCCCGAACGATTATGCACTCGCGGATAAAAATAACGAGCACTCTCTTGTTTCAACGACCACCGCGGCCAAGATGGACGATCCTCTGATCGTTCGCGGAATAAACCCTTCGGTACCGTCGCCCACGCAGATCCCTCGTCGCCTTTCGACGGCAGGGTATCCCTCCCGGATGCTTCTCGTACCGTTTCCTTTCCTTTCGGTTCCTATTATGCTCGCTTATACTCTGTCTATCACGAACGGACGCGAACGACCGAGTTGCAACCAGGCTCGATTGTTCCTTCGACTTTCCTCCGGCGCCTGTTTCGTCGCGGTTCAAGGGACTTCCTCTACCGCATCTTGACGCGCGCCTCGAACCTCGGCTGCAGGTGCATACTGCTCGAATCGAATTGTCGCCCGTTGCTGTCTTGAGGTATCTGTAACAGAACACGACGGTATCGTCAGCCATCGGTCGTCGAGGTTCACGCGATCAATTTCTAGGAATTGTAGACCCTTACACGTTCTAAAAAAATTTTTAAGTTAAAGATAACGAACCGTGCTACCTTTTATTGAAAACGAGCGAAGAAAACAGTACTCTTTTATAACTTTAACAGTGAAACTTTATTCAACGGTTCTGAAGGACGTCTCGACCGAGGTGACGCTTAGATCCCCGAAAGGAAAAATCCGGCATCCGCTTAAAGAAAGAACAGTCCCAGGCCTTTAGGCCTGATGGTACCAATACGGTCTCCGTATGCAGATAATGATTATTTATTAACAATCCAACACCTTTCAACCCCCGTCGACGTTTTCGTGAAGCATAATTTGATTCGAGGATTTCGCTTGCAATCATCGCCTGTACAATGCTCGATAAGAGATACGCGCGTATTTTATTAAGAATCCTCGTAATACGAGAGAGATAAACCGCTTAATGCAACAGGGTTCAGTGTACCCAAAATTAGCGTCATAATCGCGGTGCTACTCCAATCGATGCGAAAGATTGCCAGGCCTTATCGAGCAGATCTTGATAAGCTATCGTCGTAGACGCGTTATCTTTAACCTCGCGTTCTTTAATGGAACGATTAAGCAGGATGAATGCAGTTGTTAAACCGAGACAGTTAAATTTAGCGATGACTCGATCCCGCGACCGAACACCGCGAGTCTCGTCATCGAGAGCATTAATTCGTCGGAATCAACGACTGTTTACGAATTCGATCGAACGCGACGACACACACCGAGGCGGAATTCATCGTCTTGACCTCTGTTCGAGAAACGTGCAAAGACGTTTTTATCGACGGGCAAAGTTAAACGGGAGGAAATTAAATGGCAATCGGGATTCGCGAAGAAACGATCCATTCGGCGAAACTCGTGTAACGTTGACCGCACGACGCGTCATTATTGCCAACGGAAATGTTCGAGACGACAGCTTCGGGGCCCCCGATGTGCTACGCAATTTCCTTCTGCGTGGAGAAATCTCCAGTAATGACACGCTTCAACGATCGAACGAACACGGCACGATGAAACGGGAGGCTCCCTCGGATATTCCTGGTGCTTCGATCTAAACTTCCCGGCGGTCTAAAACTCGCCTCGCGGCCAATAAAACTCGCAAGAACGTCGAGACGCCGGTGAAGCAATTCGGGATCAAAAGTTTCCTCCGATCGAGGCGGCGATTTTTTTTTAATTTCCTCCGAGCGGACCAAACTTGGTTCGAAGTTGTCCTGCAACTGAGAACGTTTCGACTCGAGGAACGTGGATTTAAAAATGTTATTTCTAAAAATTCGTTCGCAGTCTCAGGGTATTGTTTATACGATTTCTTTTTCATCGTTTCGAGAGTCGCGCGTTACCTAATGCAACCATAATGGCGTCGAGTTGACAGAGCTTCGTGCCTGTACGCGTTCGATGCAACGAAGCCACGTGGAAATCGAGTGGAGAGGTATCAGGTTTACAACCACGCAGAGAGTCGCGTTTAAGAAGCGTCGCTTGGAACAATGTAACCGTAAATTGATAGGATGCTCTGTCCATTGTAGGACGCGTTTTTATCAACGACGAGGAGTGAAAGTCGCTGTTAGTTACGTAAAAGATGCGTGCCGATACGCTCGTCGTTCGCGACTTGTCAAAACGAGTCGCGAACCGACGACCATAGGAACTTGGGATTCTTTATATTATGTGATACAAACAAAAAACGTGAGAAATGGTAATAACCTCGTGGAACAGATGGCAGCACCCTCGACGACCTCTAGAGCCTTCATAGATCACCACGTGATCCGCGCGCGTAAACGGTCGAACGATCGACGCCCATAACCACAAAATCACACGCACTCGTGACACTCGTCGAACTGTCTCACGAAATAAACACTTGCGGACACTACCACTCAAGAAACGCCAAACGAGCTCTAAATACAAAAAAAAAAATCGGATTAAGACGATCCTGGAAGCCTCGTAGCTCCCAAAATCTCACGGATCAACACCTGATCTTGCACACTCGATCGACACTGTAGCGTTACGGAAAGAATATCGGCGACTGACCGGTTGGAAAATTGCGGAACGAGGGAATCCCCCGTAGATCGACGGAACGAATCGTGAGGAAAGAGTCCGCGATTTGACGCGGGACGCGCGATTCGACGGAACGAACCGCGACGCGTGACGCAGTTACCGAAACTGGCGGCACGAGCCTCCCTCCATCAGTCACCGCGGGCCTTGAGACGGTCCCTCGTGGTGGGACAACGAAGGTGGATCGACTGGGTCCGCGACTTTCTACGCAGCCCGAGAACTGGCCCTAAAAAGAACACCGGGAAGGTCGGACGTCGGCGCGCTTTTGCCTCGACCCCTCTCCAACCCCCACTGAGGCCCCGTGGAGCCTTTTGTTTATCCTCTACCCCCCTCCTCTCTCTGTGTTTACGAACCTGATCGCGGCCGTCCTTAAGGGACGCAACCGGGTTGTCCGGGGTCGAAAAGTAAACTTATTATTTCGCTACTAATTTCAAAGTACGATTCAAAGACCTACGGAAAAGCTACTTAAAAACATCACGTTTTAAATATTTATTTATCACACGAAAACCCGTTGGGGTACGAGAAGAACTATGATATTTTAACGTGTAGAAGAAAATAGGATTGATATTGGGACTTACGATTATAAACTGTAAACCTGATTTTTAAAAGAGTAAATTTTGAAAAGTATCTCTTTAAAGGGAAGTCTACTGGTATTAGGTATTATAGGCAGGGTACAAGAGAAACTATAAAGAAGAAAATAAAATTGATATTGGGCCTTATGATCATAAATTGTAAACCTGATTTTTCAATGCGTAAATTTTAGAAAATATCTCTATAAGAAGAAGTCTACTGGCGTTAGGTACTATAGGTAAGGTACAAAAGAAACTATAAAGAAGAAAATAAAATTGATATTGGGCCTTATGATTATAATTTGTAAACCTGATTTTTAAAAGAGTAAATTTTGAAAAGTATTTCTACAAAGGGAAGTCTACTGGTATTAGGTATTATAGGTAGGGTACAAGAGAAACTATAAAGAAGAAAATAAAATTGATATTGGGCCGTATGATTATAAATTGTAAACCTGATTTTTGAATGCGTAAATTTTAGAAAATATCTCTATAAGAAGTCTACTGACGTTAGTTACTATAATATCGAAGCTTACTTCGTATTAAATATATTACTCCGAATTAGGTTCTTGTTAGAACAGTAAAGATGCAATATATATAAACCGTAGGGAATAACTGAATTGCAATTGTAAATGCCTCGGAACGCGAAGGGTTAAGCGTTGGGGCCGATTCTGCGAAAAAACGGGGAGCTGTGATCCATGGGGTCATCAAAGAGTACTCGATGCTCTTTACGTAACGAAGGACTCAGGAGATTCTAGAGTCTTCGGGGTCCATTAGACCGCGTCGGAAAAAACGACATCATCGATGGAGCAATTCTCGAGTCGTTAAGGTTTCCCCGTATTACGTGAATCACGCAACACCTCGTCGAGATACGCGTTATCCTCGAGGTTCAGCAACAGCGAAGCGAAAGGATACCGACGGAAAAAAGCTCTGAGAAATCTCGGCCGGGATTTTTTCAACGGTGTCCATCCAGGTATCGAATCGAGAGAAAGAGAGAGAGAGAGAAAGAGAGGATCGGTGAACGGAGACCGAGGGAAAATTACCGTGTGGCTTGGACTGCCACTCGACGAGCTAATGCACGGTAGAAATGAATAAAAGGCGATGTGAGATTCGAGTACAATGTAATTGAAGGCTTGCATGGGAAATGAAAATGGAGAAACGACGCGGCTGACAGTTTGTCGAGGGGAAACGCGATAACGCGTCGCGACGGGGATTGTTCAAACAGGTGCTGTCCGAGTGGGAAAATAAGAGATTCTTCAATTAAACGGATCGTGAAATTTCCGCGCGACGTTCAGCAGCATCAGATTCAGACCATTTCAACGAAATCGAGACGGTGAATTCTATTTCTCACGCTTCGATACCGAAATCCTGATAGTTTCGACATTTTTTATTTCACCGACCGTGGACTTTGAACTAGAGATTTCTCTTGTTACTAACAGTGTAATTCCGCGAATAAAATTTCCTCTTCACAATAGTCGAAGCGTCGAAAAGAGATCGAGGTCCCGGAAAATTTATCCATCGGTCGTGGTTGATTTAAAAAAAACCAGTTTTAGGTGTCCCGGTCACTGGAAAAAGGAAAAAGGAGGACCTTGAAAACAACGGAGCAAATTACGAGCGCCTCTCGCGAAAGCACCGCGTCAGCACGATGGACGAAGGGGGGGTTCCCTTATCCCTGGCATCGATCTATCGATCGCCAGGCTCCTCGACTCTTCCCCTTCGGTCCAATCAAGACCGTCGTACCGCTGAAAACGGCGATTTATTAATCATCGCCGGCTCTGTTGTCATCTCGAACACGCACGGCCGACTTCTGACAATGGCAGCCTGGTAGGCCGTGTGTCACCGACAGACCCAGCATGCTCTGCGCGTCGTTGCCCGTTCGACTAATCGATTATTAAAACTCGAGCCGCCCAACCGACCCGGTCGACAACGTGCCACGTAATCTTAATATTTGGACGACGTAACGACAAATACCTGAGCGTCGTTAATACGCTCGCTATCGCGAGTTTACGAAAATATCGTATGTGCAATACGATTTAATTAAACCACGATATCGGATTATCGAACTCAGCTCCTATTCAGTTATTCGGGGAACACGGGCGATTTCATTCAGGGAACCGTTCCCCGGATCGGGGTTGATAAAAGGACTGGAATCACTTGTTTATATAATATATAGACGGTTCTGCGACTACGAACACGATTAAAATGTTTGTTATGAAATTAAGAATAACCGGGAGTGTGGATTACTCGCGATAATTGGATGTTCCCAGAAACACCGGATGCGATTCAAAATCTCCCATGGTATTATTATTATTTAAACCGATACA